AGCTTACTCCCAATCCTGGTGTAAGCATTCCTGCTGTGACTACCAAGTTTGATAAAACGAAGCATGACATTCGAAATGGAAGGAAGACTGGAGTGCCAGTATCTGATAATATGAGCCTTCCATCCAGTACTTTCGCAGAATCTCACAAACCTGGATGTAATGTTGAATCGACAATCTTTTTCGCATTCCACAACTCCGGAGTCATTTCATGGATCTTCCCCTGCTTATAACTCGAAATGAGACTTTTCGCATGCTCCAATCCGGCGCTGTTGACCAACAATGTTCTACTCAATCGTCAGCATATGATGTTGTATACTTCACAAGGGCTACGATGGAGTGTCTGAAAGAAAGTGTGAGCACCTTTTTGGTGAAAACACACAACAAGTTCCTCCTCACCTAGGGTCTGAAATGGCCGCAGAATGCATCACCCGTCCCCAGTATGTACTGAGATCATACTGGGAAGCGGGCAATTCTCGATTGCCTGGGAGAGAGGCAGACATTGTTCTGGTCCTTGAGTCACTATATAGTCTGAAGAAACGTCGAATTGAGGTTGATATAAGACTTTAATGTAGGTAGTACCGGGGGCAAAATGATTTCGGATCCGAATTATCAATAGTAAGCCGCTCGCAGATTCATAGAATACATAAAGACCGCGGAATTGGTGGATTGAGTCTTTCGAGTTGTCTTCGCGGGAGACCCCAAATTATTTATTTTTGGCGCTCTGACTCCGCTTTCGCTTCACCTGTTTATCGGGATTTCTTCTCAAGGAGCGAAGATAAGGTCTCACCACAAAACAAAGCATATCACACAAAGGATTTACTTCTGAACAATAAATATTAAACCATTTGATAATGAAATTTGCCTATCTTAAACTCGTTGGCAATTTAGTCATTACATTCTGTTTAATCCATTGGCCATCAATAATCAATAGGCCCTTACGCTCTCAAGAAGTCTTGACATACAAAAAATTACCTATCTAGAGGTTTATTGATTGAAGGGGTCCAGTAGATACCATCTGTGGGCGAGAAGTGACCTAAGTCTGATTGACGTCTTGATAATGATACTCAAAGCTCCTCGATCCGAACTTGCTGAACACTTGAATGGTTGGTCATGAGGATCTTGTCAATAGCGGGGAGAAATTTGAAGAGGATATGAGTTCATGAATGGCAATGATGCACCAGTGAAGTACATCTTATGCCGAAGTACAGATGCATGGTACAGAGCGCGTGTTGCGATGCGAATCTCGAAATACCGGTACGATAATGCACTGGGCTACCTACAGGTCTAGGTTTGTTATAGACCTCCGTACATCAATTGACACGCGTTCAATATGCATTTGTGTAGCTATCAAAAGCTGGTCAACGCAAGTGTCGACAAGTCAGAGAACTGATGCATCGATCACCAAAGAACTCAATCCAAATGTAACAGTTCATTCACGGCTTTACCACAAAAAATACTTGGCATTTACTAAAGCACAATATTGTGTACAAAAGAGCTCCTCTAATGGATTGGTGTCAGTTTTTTGGTCATTCGCCCTCAAGTATCTAAAGATGTACCTAGGTATAAGTTTGAACTTTCAGCGAACATCTCAAAGTGCGGCATCTGCAGCTTTTACCAGCCTTTAACTCAGATCACGACTTCTCATCGTGAACATGATATGACAATAATGTACTGTATTGTGTACTGCTGTACGACTTGATCTCATGTTGTAACCAGCATGGCTGGCGGAACAACCACAACGTCCAGCATTCTCCGGCAGCTAGCACACAGGCGATCTAGAATCACACTAACTGTCCTCAACCACCAATTTCGTATGAACGTCATACTTCAGACACTGCACCAAGCTTAACTCAGCAACTCATCTCCGTTGCAATAATTCCGGCCAGCTTTCAGATATGCAACAAAAGACAGAATAACCAGCACTTGTACAAGCAAACGCCATGGAATCTCAAAGCGAGCCTGTCAATACTTGACACCTGATCATTTGTACCTTTTAAATGCAAGAAAGTGGTCAGGGAAATTGTTATCTGTCTTTCTTTTGCCGTCGCCGAGAATTATTCGTGGTACCGAAGGCTGGACTCTTCCGCGGAAATCAAAAGATATCTCACTCGATGTTTCTCAACTTTTCCGAGATATCCGAATTACCATCGGAATATAAGTATATGATGATGTATTTGACTGAGCAAAGAACTGGTTTATTCGTGATCTTACCTTCGATATTCCGTTCAATATTACCCTCTTGGCAGTATGTGCCGTTCGGTGTTACATTTACATGCCGAACCCCAAATTAGCCAAAATATTACATTGTCATATCGGCGAACAACATACTACTTCCCTTTTATGTCAGTGGAGATTACGCAATTATGAAAGAGATGCATGTACCTCACCCCTCAAGCGTTTGTCGCTCTCAAGCGAGAAGTAATCAACACAATTTATGCCTGTGGTTGTGTCAGTATTAAGGATCACTCTGGACCGTTACTATTGTACTTGAAGATAATCCTATGAGAATTAATTTCAGGCCTACATAGCTCTGAAATATATGCTGTCAGTAGGAATATCTCTCTATGCTCCTAATAGACCTATAATCTGGCATTGACCTTTCACAACCAAGCGGTCAGTCGCGTTCCGGAGAGAAAATTTCTCGAATAAGAAGTAACCAATGGGAGCTCATTCCGACCAATTATCATACTTGGCTGCTCTATCAAGCATCATCTCCAAATATACTCACCCTCATATTTGATGCCATGAGCGAATACAATCTACGTAACCTACAAATATATATACATATTATACCTAGTTGCCTATCTTTGCAAGAGATGCACACTTTCTTTCGAACTAGCCTGTTATCCTCTTCAATCGACCTGACGACAACCCGACAGGAAATCGAAGGGAAAAGGAAGTTTTGCTGCATATCAGAATTTGCGAAAAAGTACTTTGTGGGAGGTTAGTTTTTTACTCAAAATTGCTTTTGTGCTAAGTAAATCGAGCGTTGCAGAGGCGTGTTTCTTACCACCTGGCCAATTTCGAGCTTCTTAAATTCCTCCCACGAGGAGTTATTCCGCTTTCAATGTTGATTAAGCTCCATGTATACTCGGTCGGTCAGTCGAATTTTGTTGCATATCTGGCAAAGTTGCAAAGAAAGATACTTTTCAACCGCTCTCGATTTATACTTAAGGTATCTCCAGGCCATCATTGTAGCTTTCTGGCTATTGAGATCAATTCCATGCTTCCTGGTGGAATATAGGCTTGGCTTGATTGATCCACGGAGACACGCATAGCTTCAAGCAACTACAGCTATCCAAAGTTTTGCTGCACGTCTGCTCCCAAAAATGTCTGAGTTAAAAAGTACTTTCTAACTACCTTCAACTTTGGGCAGCCTTTCCACTCCGGAATAAGATACAGAATAGCCTCCTGTAGACTTTATATATGCTCTCTGAAATATTGAATCCAAAGTTCTGCAAAAGTGACGGAATTCAGGAAGTTTTGCTGCACGTCTGATAGAAGTTCTTTGGTGTTGAAAAGTACTTTTCGGCAACGTTGAGGAAATCGACCAAAAGTTTTGTTGCAAATCTACAAAGAGATTCGATTTTAAAAAGTACTTTTTAAGAAGCCTCGGAAAATGGCTTAGCCTGTGCTACTGCTATTTTGGTAGGTATGAGTCTTATTAGCACCTGTAGCATTTGCATCTCTGAGGTCGAATTTGGGCGAGCGTATTAGGCTTTTGTTGCATATCTGCAAAAGTAATTTCTATTACGCGTCCAATATATCTACAAGAGGGGCCTTACAGTGACTTGGAGGTGTGTACAACAAGTGGTTTTATTTGAGCTGTACAACCCTAAAATACTTTTCTCCAGAATAGTGCCCCAAGCGTTGAAGAAGAATACGAGAAATGGCGTGAGCCTATGGTATCTGTGAATTAAACTTCCTTCGTTTCGCGGCTGGCTCTAGATCTTCATTCAGAAGTGAGATATTAGTGCAGTGTCGATGCACAGAATTCAGGTTCGAGTTTTTACTTGATAAATTGTTGGTAACAGGACTGATGTCTTACCAATTAGGATCCCCTGGATCTCACATTCCAGCCTCTTAAATGCCTCGTCCCTCACCGTAGATAACTGACATGGATACTCCGAAAATACCGAGCAAACTGTATGCTGCATCTTCTTTTCTTGTCATAATTTGTTTTTCCGCCCACTTCTTTCTATCAGTAACGCTGAATTTTGATAAAGGGATTCCTTGGAGTGCCTCGGGAGCGATACTTGTAATCTCTTGTCTAATCAACTTTGGAGAATCTTTATCCCCAAGCCTTTTACCATCTCGCGAAAAGAACTCGACTGATGTTGGAGCCAGAAGTTCTTGGGGCGTCCATCCTCTTGTAAACCATCGAATTAAGGGATTCCGAAAGCTCGGCGTCACTTGATTTTTTGATGCAACAGCTATCCACCCAGAAGTAGCATCGCGTTAAAGATTGGCTTGACGACAACTTTACGGGATTGCAATGGCTTCTACAACATCTGCCTATCTCTTACCTAAGCGCCACAAACGCAACTATTTATTATTTAGGAAAGAAGGCTGGCAGATTCTTTTAAAAACATAGGATATTGCTGATGCTATAAGAGAAGCTGAGATCGATGACTGGGATATACAGTGAAGATAGAAATATTCATCTGGTTAGTTGGAGGTACTAGCACTTCTATACTACTTGGCTAGGAACATAGCAGTGGCAACTCCTGCCAGGGATGATCGGCCTTGTGATGAGAAGATAATGACTCTAGAGCACAGATGTGTATATTATGTTACAATGATGTACTGAAGAGCAATTGACCACAAGAATGTATATTAACTAAATACAAAGATTAAAATATATAATTCTGGATACTCAACGTTCAAGCCACTGCTAGCTCAATCCAAGCCAGATAAAGCGAGTCTCCTAATGACCACTTCCATATGTGAACGAGTTGTTGAAGCACGATGCACCATCAAAAATATTCCATCAGGTCTGATCACAAAGTGTTTCCTGCCGAGGTAGGGACAGTGTTCTGTATCGATGAAACTGCAGCTGCCGAGGCAATGCTGGTCTTTCCTTGGAAGAGATAAAGGAAGCTCGTGTCTGAGTAGCTGAAGGCACCCGAGCTAGACAGACTATTTGAGACACAGTTACGACCAAGATACGTCGCGCATTTGGACACATCAGCAGGGTTCGAGGAGAATAGACGAATCGAAGAGCCTGATTGCACCACCGTCGGGACGCTTGTGAAGTAGTTACCCTCGTACAGACCCATGCCATTCTTGTCTCCTTCGAGTAAGTGACCGGAGTTTGAAGACCAGACATTGTTCACGGCGTGGAAAAGTGTGTTCCCAGAAAGTGCAGGGGTGCGACCAGAAGTGTTATAGACGTAGTTTTCTGATGAGTGTAGTGGTCAGCTATATTTTCATGGGGGTGAATTCGGGAGAGGCATACTGTAGAATGTAATTTGATCCCCTGACCCTACCAGCTCCAAACCCCAGTATGAGTGTCCGTCGCACGAAGCGGAGTGTTCCGTCTTGCCATTGATAAAGCTGTTAGAGATTGTAACTGCGTTGTTGGCACCGGTGCCGAAGCTGTAGTGCTGACGGCCGAGACTGGATGTCTACGTTAAGCAACGATTAGTTGATTTTACCTTCACTGCCAGCATGCCAGAGAAAACTCACAGTGACATGATCAATCCATATATTGTTAGTATCACTGAAAGTCAGCGCATCGCCACCCCAGACGTACTTGGGGTTAAGATTGGTGATGGCGATGTTCTGGATGATGATGTTCGAGACGCCAACAAAACGCAAGCCTTTGCCGTTCAGCGTCGCGCCGTTCTTACCGACAAGTGTCTTCTGTGACTTGACATTGATACCTTGATAACCAGCAGTATCGACAGACACGCTGTATGTTGGGTTCGAGCCGCATCCACCGAGGGTGTTAAGTAGCGCCTGTCCTCCATTCGAGGTCGTGCATGGATAGGTATCACAAGCTGTCAATGGAGTTGTGCCCTCTGATCCGACAAAATTGAAAGTTCCGGAGATGACGATATTCTGGGGGTCGTCTGAGGTGAGGTAGGCCTTTAGCTGCGCGATGGTGGTCGGATACACAACTGCTGCACTACCGCCACCCGTGACGGCAGAAGCCATGCCAATTGGTGTGCCTTTGACTATGGAAGAGATAGCCCGCTTCTCGGTGCTTTCGACTGGTGCGGCCACTATCAAAGTACTCAAGGCCGCTAGCATCACTGCTGAAATGAATCTTAAGTTCGTCATCGTGTTTGTTGAAGAGAAGGAAAACAGAGTTTGAGGAATGAACGTGAAAGAGTGTGAGTAGGTTGATTGTTTCAAACAAGTTGTACCATCTAACGTCAACCGCCGCCGACTTTGTACTTTTCAATTTGCATTCAGTCATCAAGGGTCAACATCCCGTAGCTCCCTCAGATTGGCAAACATCTGCCAGAAGAAGACCACGAAGGGCACGTGCACTTCGGCGAACTAATAAACATCAGCCAAAACAAGAAACTGAGGGAGGGGCACTTCCACCTCACCCCTAGAACGGGTAATTAGTTTAAATAGATAATACCGTATTCATTTGAAAAATTCGTACAGTACAAGGCTAGCAGGGGTGCTTCATCTCGAGGCCAATCAGCTTGCCTTTGAATGAAATAAAACGCCTCAAAATAGAAGCATTTAACAAAATTTCAAGGCATCTGATGAATAATCTGATGAGCAAACGAATCAGACAACTCCGGTGTATACCGCAACCCTAACTCGCGATAAGCTTAAATTATTAATCCTTGCTAGCTTTGTACCAATTCTCCAAATGAATACTGTATACTCCAAACAAAATACCCACTCACACTTAAAATTAATTGTTAGTCTTCGCTTAATCTTTTTCTTAGACACCCAAAAGTTCAGATGAGCTTCTAGTTCTCCCCAGTACGCTCCTTATGTGTACTATATATCAAACGTCTAAGCGCCGTTAGACTCCTCCTCCTACCTTATTACCACCGCAAATACTTTCGTATAGAGCGATCGCTTTCGAGATTAAGGAGCGGCTCCACCAATGCAACCTCCACAATTTCGCGAGAAACAACTGCCAGGTAGTTCTAAAGATTCAGTTCCTCCGCGACGCTTCGATAATCAAATTCCGAGAAGTTGCCCGCCCGCGTCGGTGAGGTGATAAGTTGGCCCACCAATCGGTCTGAATATTTGGCATCATCTTCTGACATCAGTCAAAAACAGCCTGTTATTATCGGGAAAACTGTTTGCGATTTGTGCGCAACAAGCCAAAGTAAGTTATCTGTCTAATGCACCCCAGAGCGCCACAATGATTGCGGGGTGCATTCTTTCACGTCAATGAGCTTGCTGCAACACGGGCAGAGATATGCCATCAACGAAGTTTAACAGTATAGTCTGTTACTGACAAGGCTGCTGAATCTGCCGGGTCTATACACTACCCTATTTGGCTGCATTTGAAGGCTATTTTTCTGACGTCTTCCCCTTGAAACTTTTTTAACCAATAATAATATGACTAGCAGGCTGTAAATTACGGGTGCTCCCCTTTCCTGCATCACGCTAGCGCACCGAAGACGTTTTGTTGCATACCTAAAGATAGCGTACTTAATACTATGGACCAGAACAGTCGGCTAGGTTCAATACTATGTGCTGCCACATATACAATGCTATTCTCTTGAGTGCTGCCAGTCGCAATAGCATCAAAAAGTACTGTTTTGATTCAAATATGTTTGAGTCGTGGACTGAAGACCCGTTTGTTGCGCATCCTATCTCGTAAGTTTGTATAGACCTTTTGAAAGTACCTTTAAAGATAAAAGTTTGTATAGATATACAACAAAACTCTCCCAAAATTATGAGTGAATATAGCAAGGTCGGCTTTGCAATCAACTGTCGCTCCCAACGAATTGTATCTGGTTCTCAGGCATCATAGTCTGCTTACAGGCTGCTAGAGAAACTGTCAGACATGGTTAGATGCAGTTATTAGGTATCAAATTATTTGTGTGAAATAGCTATTCCTTCTAAACACTATCATGGGCTTATGGAACCATAGATAACCCCTAGAGAAAGAATTTTTGTCGCACGCCCGGGAACAAAAATCGAGCTGCGGTCCTGGACCGTAAGATAGAAAGATACTTGATATTGTCCTCTTTATATGCACCGGCTGAAAATCCGTTCGTTGCCCATCTAATTTCGACAGATTGTGTAAATTCTATTCAAAAGTAATTTTGGGAATAGATATGCAACAAAAATTTCTGGATATCGAATTCACTAGAGATAAACGAAATTCACGCTATCCCTTTCTTTTCCACGCAAGAGGTACTTGATACTCAACTTGACCACTGGTACTAGTTCTATTACTAGAGCCAGCCTTAATTATTATTTACAAGCTCTGCAATTATCTGGGGGTAGCTCGAGTCTGAAAACATATCGAAGACACCATCTCGATTCGTGAATCTGCTTAGAGAAAGCCTGCAAAGTACTGATTATCCTGCCTTTCTTCTATTCTGGTCATTATACTTTTCATCAAAGTATCTATATTTCAACTCGCGAGGCAGTGCTCTATAGAAACGTACTTTAAATTGGTCAAATCAGTTTGAATTGGAAGGACACAGTCAATATTCACCTCAACGTCCAGACGTAGACCCACAAGCATCATTTTCTCAGCTCAAGACCATTATATAACGACCACGATGATCCAAATTCTTAAATCGAGTAACCAGATCAAAGGCAATCAAAGGATTGAAAGGGTCAGAAATACAGTTTGATGAATCCTAGTTTATATTACATATCTATGTCTTCGCTTCAGAACTTGGAAGTGTGTTGAAAATGGGATTCGTCGCATGAGATTTGAGAAGATAGGAAGGGTAAATATACTAGTGACAAGTACTAGGATAACGACAACAAAGGAGAATTTTTGATGTTTGATGGTGATAGTGATAGTGAGGAGTCGAAGAGTTGTTATACTTTGGTTGGAGGAAAGAGAGTCTAATTTATATCGATTACCTGAAATTAATCTGCGTTCGATATGTATTACATATCTACACATCGTTCTGAATCGCGAAGAATGGTTTCCTGAAGTCTCATTGTCTGTATCTCTTTTTGCTTTGGAGAAGGAAAAGAAGTAATCAAGAAGAGTTCTATTTATACCCCTCGAGCGAAGGAAAATTGTAAAGATAATTACCTAGTCAGCTCGCGATATCAAAGTGAATCAAAATCCTGCATTCCGAACTCGGAGAACAAAGCAAGGTTTCCATAATAAGACTCGGCTTTTACGCATCAAGCATAGGTAGGTATATAAATAAGTAATTACCTTTCCCAGCAAGCTTTTACTTTAACATACACCCCACGAGAAACAGAGAATTACAGCCGGTATGGACTGGGTCGATCAAGCATAGCTTTCCAACGGATTTCTAAATCTTGAGGTAGCAGCATCATAGAGCAATGGAATTAATTACATTACGCACATTAATTCACGCATGAAGCGAAAAGGAGAATCACCAAGTTTAGCGAACGAAAACGAAAGCGACAGCGATCGCAGAGTCCTTACAAGGTTAGATACTCACCCATAAACTCCAATAGCAAATAATAATAATAATAATGATAATAATATTAACAAAACCCCCTCATCTCACATCCTCATAATAACCAAACTTCCTTCCCTTCCCCCGTTTCCCCGTTTCCCAACCCTCCTCATCCAAAATACCAAAAGAATACCAGATCACAAACCGCGCTCCTCACCACCTCGGTGCAGCGGCCTGATTCCCAGATTTCCTTCAACCATTCCATCTTTCTTCTCTCGTTTCTTTTATACGCCTCGCCGCATGCTATACTATGCTATGCTTTACTTGATTTTGTATCACTGCCTACCTACCTAGGTCCCTAGTGGTGTGAAGATAATGTTATTTGATTTGATACTCACTTAATCCACCAATTCACCCTCTTCTCTTATTTCTTTTACACGCCTACTTAAGTATATATTTCCATCTTCAAAAATTATACAAATCGGTGATGTATCTAGGTAGAGACGTATATTAAATCCACTATCTCCTCTTTTCCAATTTTGCAAATTTATATTCAGATGCCTCTACACCGATTCACTTCAACTTCTGTGCATGACATAATAATCCCACCACATTTCACTCGTCCGTTCACAACAGAAGAATTTATATCTTTTCCTGAAATATTTAAGGATATATATTATCTTGTCTATCAACTCCAGCCTTGATATATACAATTTGATATTTATACAATTTATTTATACAACAATCTACATGTCCAATCTATACCTACAATCCCCAATCTATACCTACAATCCCCAATCCATCCCTTTATCCCAGTCTCTCCCCTCTTCTCCCTTCCTCTCTCCCCTCATCCCTTACTACCCCTCTCAATCACCCTTCCAATCACCAATCCACATCCAACGGCCCCACCCAACTCTCCCCCACCGCTCTATAAATCCTCACTTCCCCCTTCACCAACTCCGCCATATTATATTCACCCCTCATAACCCTCTTCACCCCACCCACGTTTTGTTCTACGACTTCTAGGACTCCATTGGGTTTGACTATTGATTTATCTTGTTAGCATGGGGTAATTCATGGGATACTTATGGGAATTTTTGCATAAATGCAAGGACGAAGGATGGATAGAAGGAAGCGAGTGAAGAAAAAGGTAAAAGTAAAAGGGGAGGAATAACAAGATGTGATAAGAAAAAGAAGCAAAGAAAAAGAAACTCACCCCCAACAACGACACTAGTATGATCCGGCGCCCCCGCCCACTTCTGACCTCCTCTATTATCCATAAAATGCGCTTCCAAGAATTGCACCACATCACCTCTCCTAACCCCCGCTTCTTTAACTCCCCCTCCAACTTCCACCCTCCCATTCTTAAACTCGAAAACCTTATACCCATGCACATATCCCTGACTACTCATACACCCCTCCTCGCCCCTCTCTTTACAATCCCGCGCAACAGCTTTCAATCCCTCATTAGCCAAAGTCCAACACTCACCATTCCCCACTTGTGTCCCCATCTGCGCTTCACACCATCCAGCCACACTCTCTCCATACCTATCTCCATGAAGTTCCAACTCCCTTTGCCCCAACTTCCCGGGCGGTGCAATATGTCTTTGCTCCGCTCTCACTGTTCTTCCTGGATCACTAGCATCCCATACTAATTTAATCTTAGTAGTCGAAAGGTTAGTGTTATCACGTAAAACACCAATGAAAGTGTGAGTTTTGCGAGGACCGTTGGAAGTCCAGCTACTACACGAGGCGTGAGAGCGAGTGCCTGGGAGAGAAGTGATGGAGGGAGGTGGGAAGGTGGGGGGATTTTGGGCGAACCACAGGGTTTGAAGCGAGAGAGGGAGATCAGTGGGGGTATACTGTGATTGTGGTGGTGAGGGAGACGGGGCGGGAGCGGGATGAGAGGACTGGATTTGGGTTAGTTCTTAGTTTATGAAATGTAGAGAGTGATAATGACGAAGGAAAATATTGAAATGGGGAAGAGGGAAGGGCGAGCTTCAGTAAAATATATGCATGCTATCACGGCCTGAAAAAGACTATTCAAGTAATGGAGGCAAAATCATGCTTTGCAATATGAAATATCCATTTCACAAACCATCGGACCACTGTATGAAGATGTCCAAAAATAGTAAAGAGAAAATTCATAATTCAAAAAGCTCATGGAAACTCCAGTATTCTCGAGACCAAGGGTAAAAGTATTGATTGTAAAACTATGAATGTTGATCACTTACCATAGGCTTAGGCTTAGTCGCCATTGGTATAGGCGGCGGTGCCCCATTCCCAGGAGCACCCAATTCTGACCTCTTCTTAGGGGGAGGGGGAGGAGCCGGCTTCTTTTTCCCTAAAACTGATTGTCCATTTAATCCATTTCCAACCGGACTAGATGAATTCTCCATATTCCCATCGTGTCCATTAGTCGAAGCATCTTTCCCCTGTGAGATTCCTCCGTACGATCCCACTTTATCAGCAATTCCGTATTTTGTATTTAATTTGTTCGCAGATGCCCATCCTGATTTCACTTGTTCTCCATGTCTTTCTCTGAAATTGTTCGCGGTGCTTGCGGCGGTTCGGGCGTCGGATAGAGAGATGGACGAGGGATCTTTGTGAAATGCGGATGCGGTTTTCAGAGCTGCTTGTTTTTGGGCAAAGGTTGTTCCTTCAGATGGAGGTGGGGGCTTGGGGGATGAGGAAGATAATGATGGCGAGGATGTGAGCCGAGAGAACCGAGATTGAAGTTCATTCACCTGTGGTGAAGAGGATCTGGATGGTATTTGAGGTGAGGATGTTCGTGCAGGTAGTTGTGGTGAAGATGTCCTTGAAGGCGGAGGTGGAGGGGATGAATTATTTGTAGATGTTCGGGATGGAGGGGGTGGTGGTAGGGCCGGTTTTGCTTTTGTAGACCCAATTCCAAATCCAGGCACTGATACTCCTGCTGCGCCCAATCTACTCAATGCCCCTTGATTCAATATACCTTTATGTGGATCCGCTTCAGATGTAGCCGCGCCATATGTAGGAGGAGGCGAAGGAGCCGATGATCCCGGATTGGAATTTTGTCGCGGTGGCAATCTTGGTGGTAAGCCAGGAGGTTTAGGTTTACCAGCTGTAGGAGGCATAGGCGGCGTTCTCCCATCTGCGCCATCCTTTCTTCCAGGAGGTGGTGGTAAATGTGATACAGATAATCCTGTAGTATTCGCACGGTATGGCATTGGCGGTGGTTTAGGTTTCGCAGCTTCTTCTTCTTGTCTTCTTCTTTCTTCTTCCTCTGCCTCTTGTTTTGCTCTTATTTCACTTTGTGGTATTGGAGCACCCAACCCTCCTGTGTCCGATCTTGCTGAACTCGATAGACTGGTCGGAGGTGGTAAAGCGGCAGCTCCATGATATTTAACACTTTTTGGCGGCGGGCCGAACGATGCAGGATCTCTCAATGAAGATAGAGGTGTGGAGTTATGTTCTAAAGCTTCTTCTCTTGGATCTTTACCTTTTCCCATCCTATTGAATCGAATGTTAGCTCAATACCTAGGTAAATACAATATCTGAAATCAAAAACTCCTTCATCTTGTTCGGAAAAGGAGATAAAACATACCATCCAGCTACTTGATTAAACCCCTTGAAATCACCTTTCCAGCTTTCCTTGGATTTCCCATCTTTGCCTTTTGGATGCCATCCACCTTTCAAAGTATCCTTCAATCCCGACATGTTGATGTAGAGAAGAATATACAATGATAATCTAGGGGTGGTTTTGCGGGGAGTTGTTTAGTCCCCATGCTCGCTTTAACTATGTAATAGCTTGTTTTGCTAGTTCCAAATTGTCATAGTCATTATGCATGCGTAATACCCGTTCCGTCCGATACAAGCTGAGACGAAAGAAAATTCTCCGAACATTATGTTTTGATACTCCTACATTGAAACTATCTGGGTAGGTACTGTTGACACAAAAATTCAACCCTCAAATCTCTGCCGACATATAATAAGGATATAAGTAGAATATTACTGTATTGTAAATCTACTAGGTAGGAGGCATGCCACAATCCAACAGTCGCTTATTCCCCAAATGCCGAATACCACATGGTGCAGGAGATTGTGGCGGCACAACATTCTCCTTCCCTCACATATCATTCACCAAAATATGAGGATATATAACCAACACAAACATCAAGTGTCATCAAAGAACGAGCATAAGTTCGGCCTAGTGGCCTAATGGTTAAGGCGCCAGATTTCGGTATAAGAATCTCTGGAGATTGGGAGTTCGAATCTTCCCTGGGTCGATATGATTTTTGGTTACTTTTACCCTTGAGACTTTTGATTTGCTTGTTTGTATGACATGAGGTTATGGAAAGCAAGATCCCATCAAACTTCAGATTGTGTTGCTCTTTCTCTCTGTAGACTTTTCGGATGACCGTTTTGGTACCTAGGCAGTTGAAGTCAACCATTTTAGGAATTCCTGAAGACAGTGTCTATTGAGGACTTGGTGAGGTGTCAAAAGAATCAATCAAAAAGTGACCTTTAAGAATAAAATCGGGATAATACTGCTGCGATCGTTATTTCTAAAGAGCCAGCAATGCAGCCATACAGATACCTTACCTCTCACCGAGTTTCCTGTCATCAATAAATTGTTTGTGTCGTCAATCACAAGAAAGGATTTCCTGCCAGAGCTTTTTCCAAACACAACAAGAGTATTCCTCTCCCATCAGGATTAATGATACTCTCCACTTAATCAGAACATTGAATCGTTCAATTTCGAACACAGCCATCAAGATACTAAAACATGGCGACTACCTTAGTATCCCATCAAGCGTCAAGCATTGCTGCAATCTCCTCATCCTAAAAGGCAGCCGACCATTAGTCTCAGAGAACACTTCTCATGCCCACAGTAATGCCACCAAGCCCTCTACATACATTATCAAGCTCATCGATTCAAGCAAGGGATTCTCCGAAAAACATCCTATTCAAAAACGACAACCTGTAACTTGACCATCCCGACACCCTCGCGAGCACAAGACAGACATCCCACCATCCAATATTCCGTCCGATTCTATATTGATAATATTTTGACCATGTTACTTCAAACCCCGTCAAGCCCAAAAAAAATCCTCTCTCTATCTTTCAAACCTCGATATGAGAAAACACACAATAAGCAGATCAGATCAGATCAAATCAACTCACAACAACGGCACCAAGTCCAGAAACCCAAAAGCAACTCCAAATTGCCAATACCAACCAAACTAAATGTAACCAAGGAACCAAAAAACAAGTTCAACCACCCTATATCAATTTTATCCATTAGAATTACAATACTACTAAATTATCCATTCTCTGCTTATATACTGCCTTGTATACATGTACTCAAGCAACATATATGCCATACCGCCATTTAAATACCCAGAATATCAGTTTTTGCGATAGGCACGACACTTTGTTGTGAACTTACAGGTTGAGATAAATCACATGGCCAAACCAATAAGCGGCTGGGGGAAATGATTGCTAACCGGTAATGTCATACCTGGGTAGCCCATGGTATAGGGAGACATCTGAGGAGCGAATGGGAGTGGGTGGGATTGAACGGTATAAGATGTTAAACCCATGCAACATTCAGTTGTAGAATGGGATAGGAGAGTCAGAGAGCTACTGGAAGGAATGGAATTATTGAATCCGGGGAATGTTCGCTATCGACCGCTATAGACATAGGTAGTAAGAAGTACGAAAGAAAAGATTGGAATTGTTGAATAGTCAAGTGTTCGAACACCCGAGGAACAGAATATCACAATAACCGAGTACAAAAGGAGCTCATCTCATTCATTCGTTTAGTTGCATTGTATTTTAATATCGTAGATAGCATTCAGATCTCGGAAATCGAGTCGGACGATGCGAGTCCATATGGTGAATTACACCAGAGAGTAAAACTCCTATCCCATAACCAACATCCTCAACAACTGTTTGTTCCCTTAAACCTTCATTTCAGTGAGACCGTGCTTCCAGACAGTGATGAATGGAGTAACACCGTCCTCACGGTAGTTCATGAGAACGACCCTGTTAATTATGTAAGTGTGTGTTTTGACAAACTGGAGTAATAAAAAGAGAGAGTGAAGCTTACATTCCATCGGGGTCCATGGATTCGCCGACATAGAAGTCATATTCCTTGAAACCTCCAACAATCTTCTTTGCGTATGCAGCGGCACCCTTCTCAAACTTGGTAACTTCCTCATCAGAAGCACCTCGCTCCTTTAACTTCTCCTTAACAGCCTTCATGTAACCTAATCATAACATTAGTCCAAATCCCTTTATGTTCATACATGAATGAAGGAAATAGGCGTACCCTTGAGATGGACAAGGTAGGATTTCTTGTCGAAAGAGGTAGAGTTGAGACGGAAAGAGTTAACGATATCGTTGACCTTTTGCTCTCCATCTTCGGTACCCTCCTCAGCTTCTTCGGCAGAGGCGTTGGCACCAGTATCTATAATTTGGATTTGTTAGTTTATTATCCTCCTATGGTGATACCGGTCCTCGTAGACTCGATCGATTCCGGCGGGGTAATTTTCGAACGTACCAACGCTGACAGCGCCAATAGTGATCATGCTGCAGTCGACCTCATAGACAACACCATCGACCTCCTTCAAGTCGTAAGAGTCGGAGATGATCTCATCACCAGTGATAACATCCTATGGAAATTCCAAAATTAGTTTTCATCCGTGGTATGATTCTCCTTTTCATTCCTTTCTTGTAAATCCCCACCCCCAGGAAAATCATGGATCTCGAGTCTTCAGAACCGTCTGCCAAAGTAGTAACTGTGTAAAAATAGGTTATAACTTACTTTATAGATAATCATATTGACGGCTTGGTTTGAGTTGAAATGAAAGAGATGTTGAGATGTGTGTGTATAGGTAGGATAAATTTGTGGGATGTGGTTTCTGATGAAGGAAGATAGTGGGAAAATTCTTTGGAGGGGAAGTTTAACGGGATTTGGCTTAGTGCGTTAGGGGTTTTTGGAGACCTTACTGAATTGGACAACTGTAGGCAAAATTCGATGGAAAAAATATAGAATGCCAGCCATGGAATTAAAGCCACACTTGAAGAGAAGCGAGCTGTGGCTTTAATTCAGACGTGTTATCTCCCTAGGTTATACCCAGTAGTACCTACCTAGTAGTCAAAGGTTGTTACCGTATCATTTCTTCCTTCACTTTCATTCACTTTCTTACATTCCAGGTTTCAGTCCATCCGACATTCTGCTTTCGCTTACATAAGTACCAAGACGTACGAAGCAGTACCTACTGCATTGGCGAGACGGGCTCGTGGGCTGATTTGATGGATATCATGGACTGGTCGCTACGGAAGCAAATACTCCGTATGCCGAGTGCATTGATGCAGAATCCAGATGTGATTCTATCATTGATATAAAAACCGTACTTTCGAGCGCAGCGAGGCAATGGGGGTCTGGGGGCTTGCTCCCATCAATGAATAACAATGATTGATGAATGAATGAATGATGAATTCAAATGACGCTCCGCTGGTCCTTCGGGGACCACTGCCGTGGAGGCAGACTATATACTATATAGGTATGTACCACGAGTACATACTTGGAAATGAAATGAATGCTCTCTCTGCATTGCATTGCATTATCATCTAACCGCCCGCCCGCCTTGGTTCCCGTACATTGATGCCCATCATGTTACTTTTGCCTGAAGAAATCAAATCAAGGCACAAAATGTGTAGTGGTTGATAAGAACTCTCAATTCACATGCATGCAGGCAGATCCCATGTGAAAACTGTGACCAAAATAAATCAGGTATACGGAGTATGCCATTCATCCTATAAAGTACTTGACTAGGTAGGTACTTATTAGCTAGCCCTTCACTTCACATGAACATCATGCCTTTTTCCTAATCTCAATCATCTGATAATCCTGGAAATGAAATCTTATCTCCCGATTCTCGATATCCATTCCCGATTCCCGATTCCCGCCATTTTCACATACTGCATTATACTCGCAAGCTTCCTTCACAAGCATTTTTATGATTTTTATGGCTTAAATAATGTAAAATTAAAGGTACGGAGATGATTACATAATTGCATAATTACACAACTATCCCTCCGATCCCTCCGGAAGTACCGGCATTAAATTTTGATCCGTTCACTCAAAACAAACCTCATCTGACTTTCCCAGTGGCGTGGATCCTGTGTCCGTCATTTACTATTAAGAGCTTTCCCATCAAGTAACAAGACTTTCCGCTTATTGATTGAAAGGAGTAGAAAATAAATACGATACCTCCGTAGTACTAATAATACCCGTGGTATCCCTTTTCATCTTGCTCTGAAGACCAGAAGAGAAGAAAGAGAAAAAGTGGAAGATTTATAATGACTTATTGAATTTTATAATAAATAGTTGAGAGGTTGAAAAACAGAATAGACTCATTATCAAACTATATTTCGACTCTTTTCCTATTTCAATCATCTCATCTCTCTCAAACTTCACTTTCTTTATTCTTCCTTTCTTCCTTTTATACCTCTACCATCATACCACTTTATCAAAGTCAACAACCAAAACCTACATCAACACATTCCTTTCGTGAGCAACACGATAACTGCTGCAGCGATCAATTCAGCTGCTCAATCTCCAATAACTCTTTAATGAATGCAACACAACACACCACAATTCAATTCAGCCCAACTCTCTACAACCCTCTACATAATGGCGAATCTAACCAACCTCTCAATTAACTCAACGACGACAATGTCCGACCTTCCGCCACTTCCTCAATATACTCTTACCCCCCTTCAACCACTCATTCCATACATATCCGATTTCTACCTCTCGCTCATTGTTCCAATTGCCGCATACTGGATCACTTCCCTTGTTTTCCATGTAATCGATACCCTAGATCTTTGGCCGCAATATCGTTTGCATACTCCGGCAGAAATCCTCAAAAGAAATCGCGTCTCACGTTACGAAGTTGCTCGCGATGTAATCATTCAACAAATCATTCAAACCGTCGTTGGGGCTCTGCTAGGCCTCACCGAACCCGAAGAGATGGCCGGGAAGACAGAATTCGATATTGCCAATTGGGCGCAAAGGATACGCATAGCACAAAGAGCTTTACCATCCATCTTAAGTTTGATTGGACTGAATGCATCCGCATTATCGAAAAACGTAGCCGGGAATTGGCCAATTGTGGCAGGAGTATTGGCTGGTGGTAAATATCCAAGTTTGATGGATGGTTTGGATGTGGTTAGTGGTCAACAAATTCCTGCCTTTGCGGAATGGGAAATGATCGCTGCGAAGATGATATATTGGTATATTGTACCTGCATTACAATTTGGATTGGCAATTGCTATCGTGGATACCTGGCAATACTTTTTGCACAGAGCTATGCATATGAATAAGTGGTTGTATAGTGAGTTTACCTTTTCTTGAGCCCTGTATGTGCAACGATAATCTAATGTATGATTTTTACAGCAACTTTCCACTCACGCCATCATCGTCTTTATGTTCCATATGCCTATGGTGCCTTATACAATCATCCCGTTGAAGGCTTTCTTCTCGATACCCTTGGCGCATCAATGGGCTACAAAATTGCCGGCATGACATCTCGTCAAGGAATGGCATTTTTCGTTGCCTCAACTATTAAAACTGTGGATGATCATTGTGGATATGCACTCCCATGGGATCCCCTTCAACATATCACAAGTAATAATGCAGGATATCATGATATTCATCATCAAAGTTGGGGAATCAAAACCAATTTCAGTCAACCCTTCTTCACATTTTGGGATAGATTATTAGGGACAGTCTGGGTTGGTGATACCACAGGAAGATATGAAAGAGGTAGAAAGGCCGCGGAGGTATTGGTTGAGGCGGACAAGGTTAAGGTTGGGGAGAAGGAGTTGTAATTTTCCGGGCATGGCTAGATGCACGAACGAAAGAATGTATATTACGACCACCACCACCACACACAGATCTGCGATGGGCACTTGGGATTCTACTTCTTTTTCAACAGCAACAACTTTTTCATGTATTGATTGGAAATTTGGGAATCATACTTTTGGGGAACCAATTTTTATAGGGAAAGGAGCTGGCGTTTTTTATGTTGAAGATTCATGAGAGAAGGGGGAGGTGTATATTATGAGATCTTGATAACAGGCTGATGGAGTGGTTTGACAGAGTCAAGAGAATGAGGAGAAAGACAAGGATTACACTCAGTTCAAGTGGAAGTGTCTATTCTATTCAAAGAGAGCAGAGGAGAGTATCAGGTGTTGATGGACAACGAGGAGGAAGGCACGAACATAAGTTCAACCTAAGCTTACTTACTTCCAGAGAGAGGAAATGAAGAAGGAATGGATAGAAAATCGGCAGGATGCAGATGGCGTATGTATAGGATCGGAATGGGATGGGTGCGGATGGAGATGGAGATGAAAGGATACGTATGATACGATTAATAGTAATATTATAACACTTCTATTCTATTCAATTTGTTGTATTCTTGTTATGTCACTTTTATGGTCATTACATGAGATGTTACAACAATACTTACTTCCCCTTTTTTCCCTGTTTTTGGATTGATTCATTGATTGGTTCCTCGTATTCCTCGTATTCCTCGTATTCATCGTATTCCTCACATTCGTACTCGGATATGTATGTACGTGTGTATGGCCCTGTCTGGATTTCGGGTTTCAGATCTTGGAGGTGCAGATGTAAATTGAGATGCAGATGTAAATGCAGATGTAGATGTAAATAGGGGGGTTAGGGGCGGTAAGATGTAGATGTATACACATGAGGGATATTCGGACTCGGATTTGGATACGGACTCGGAAGCGGAATATTGGGATTTACCGTTTGTTGTTTATTGTTTATTGTTTATTGTTTGTTCGGGGTTCAGAGTTCGGAGAGGGATTTGGAATTGAGGGGGCCTATGGAGGGGGGCTATGGAGGGGTGTGAGGTGGGGTGTAGGTAGGGTAGGGCGGAGTGGATAGGGGATAGGGGATAGGGGAGGTGGAGTGGAATGAGTTGGAGCGTGAGATGGGATGGAATGGAGTGGGGTGGAGGATGGAGGAGAGGAGGAGGGGAGGGGAGTGAGGTGGGGTAGGGGAGAAGGGAGGGGAGGGTGAGAGTTTAAGAAGAGGGGGGGAGAAGATGGGAGGGAATGGACAGGGATAGGGATAGGGGAGTGATGAGGAGATTGGTGAGGGTATGAGTAAGATTCTAAGGAGTGGAGCGTGGATAATATGAAAGATGGAAATGGCAATGGGAATGGGAATAGATTTGTTGTGTATTCTGTGCCGCTTGGTGTGTCTGGATAGGTGGATACGTAGGTAGGTCAATAATTGATATTGTAGGGTGTTTTGTGGGTAGGGGTTCAGAGGTGGGATGGGGCTAGATTGTAGGATTGGAGGAGAGGATATCCTTAAGAGGGGGGAGTAATGGGTTTATAGGGGGATTGGGTAGGTAGATATGTATATATATGTGTGTATGTAAAGTCAATCAAGAAATGATTCGATAGATGGATGTAATAAGTTAAAGGAGTCGGAGAGAATGAATGTAGGATTTTGGGGAGAAAATGGATTGTAGTTGTGAATTTCAGCTTTGAGGTTTCGAGTCTAGAGAGATGATGGATGGGTTGTGTATCTGATGTTTGTTATCTCGGTATACATATCTATATGTAGTCTGTTAAGTATATACATGAGATATGTGATAAGGATGAGGGTAAGGATGGGAGTGCATTTGTGTGTATTTGGGGGATGGGGTCCTAAGGTAGATTTTTATTCGGGGTTAGGGATGGAGATGATTGTGAGGTGAAGGGAGGAATGAGAGGGATAGAGGTGTAGAAGGATTATGAGGAATTAGTTGCGAGATCTAGAGAGGTA